AAAAAAAAAAAAAAAAAAAAAATATCACTCAAGACAGCACTGGATTTAAAGGCGAGGCTACAATTACACTTGGAGACAACTTACATGGAGCTACTGATCTGCTGCACTTGTTGTGGGGTCAAGGCAAATGCAAAACAGGTTTCTCGAAAGCGCTGACTGTTGTCTGATGCTAAAGAAGACAAGAATTATTCTTTTAATTACCTCTAAATTCATCAATACAGAAGACAATAGCAAAAAAAAAAACCCCACAGGTCTATAATTAACTAGGACATATTCTAGGTAACAAAGCAATTAAAGCACATAAGAAATATGCTAGTTGTAATATAACAAACAGAAACGTACAAAAATGGCTAAGTCCAGAAATAGTACAATTACAATTCTAATTCAGGAGATACATAAGCAAAGAAAGACTAAGAAAAATTATCTAATCATATAAATGTTTGCATCCAAAAGCATATTTGTATAAAAAATACTGCTAGCGATTTTACTTAACACAGAATTTGAGCATAATATAAACCACTTAAGATACACGGCTTCTGGGGGCTGGGGATTTAGCTCAGTGGCTCTGGTGCCTGCCTCGAAAGTGCAAGGTCCTGAGTTCGATCCCCGGCACCACCCCCCACCCCGCACACACAAAAAAAGAAGATACACGGTTTCTGAGCGAGGTAACAAACATACTTGTCTTGAGAGCTGGCAAAGGTGAGATGATAGTTGCTCTTTAAACAAGTGAGTTTATTCATTTCTTGCATAACTATACCATGCAAGTTTTATGACTCTAAAATCCCCGTGTTGTTATCGTATCAAAGGAAGAAAGAGTTATAAGAAGAAGGGAGTGGAAGAGGTGGGGAAAGAGAGATGGGGAAAGAGAAAAAGGCAAGCAAGCAGGTAGGCAAACACTTCTCACTTCAAAGCAGGGACTCCTAACTACGCTGATAAGAGCAAAGCGATGCTGGTGGCTTTCCATGCCATGTGTAACTAAACAGGTCCTCAGGGCTTGGCACAAAGAAGTACTGAATGACTGAGTAAAGAATACAAAAATTTAACAAATACCAAATTAAACTATTTAAACTGTACTTTTCTAGAACAAAATGATCCTTAAGAGTTATTATCAAGGAATTCCTGTCCTGAGTGCCACTCAGGATATATGCTGAAAATGCACTGCCAGGTTGGCGCTTCACATCTTTGGGGCGGGGGTGGGGGGGTGGAGAGGGTACTGGAGATCAAACTCAGGACCTTGCACTTGAGAGGCAGGCAGTAGCACCACTGAGCTAAATCCCCAGCCCTACTTCACATCTTTATTGTGAATTGCGATTTAAGACATCAACTTGGCAATGGCCAATCACTAAGGACCAGAATGCGGAAAAACAAACATTTTCTTTGCTATGTTAATAGCTCCTTTGCTTCTTAGAGGATATTTCTCCATAAAAATTTTAGTTCAGTAGGCTCAGCCTAACTTAAAACTTTGGTTCCACTCTAAAACAGTGCTAAATAATAATTTCCCCAAGTACAAAAATTCTTATTATTCTCAAGGCAAAACTTCAGATTCATTTTAGAACCTAAAGACTACATTAAGTTTGGACGCACAGAGATTTAGCAAAGAAGATTATGGCTAAAATAACGAGGTTGTCTCTTGTGTCACACATATAATAACCTCTATTTACATCTGCTTTATATAGAGATTGTAATGCTTGTGGGTTTGCTCTCTTTTTTTTTTTTTTAAACACTTTTCACACTGTGGTTTCAGGCTTAACTGAGGCTACAAATGCCAGAGACTTTGTAATTGAGTTTAGACAGTCTACCTAGAAAACCTTTCTGGGGCTGGGATGGAGTTTAGTGGTAGGGTGTTAAGTGTAGCATTCCTGAGGCCCTGGGTTTGATCCCCAGCACCACAAAAATAAAATGAGTGAATATTTTTCTAAATTGAATGAAGCTAAATAATTCAGAATAATCACAGAATCTTCGTACTGAAAAGAATCTTATGAAATCACTCGAAACAATAAACTTACAATGTTGGTGGTGTACATCTCAGTGAGTATATAAGAGACAACTCATAGAGATATAGGAAAAAGTATGTACTCACTTATAAAGCAGTAAAGTTAGGATTTTGCATAAAATCTAATTTCTAAAAAAAACCTAAATATTTTATGTATAATTTTAATCTTTTAAAATTTCTATTTCCTATGTTTTATAATATACATATTAATAAAGGGTAATTCCTCTGAACCTCAGTTTCATCATCTGAAAAGGGTGCTGAATCCTCTATATGGTATATGCTCAAGTATTTTGCTGAGAGGTGTATGCAATCAATGAGGTTTGCAGACCACTAATTTAGAGCCCAATATTCCTTTCAACCTTTCTATCTGTTCTGTTTAACCCCTATGAGTGATGGAGGAGGAGTTGCCATTTCTTTGTCAGGCAGGAGGATGACTGGTGGTGAACAGTTTAATTGCAAGGAGGCTTACAGACCAACGAAGAATAGCAAAACATAGAGATTACAGACTTGGTTTCTTAACTGTTTTACCATGTGTTTGTGATATGACTGTGAGTCAGTTTTCTCTGACATTTATACATAATTTACACACACACACACACACACACACACCCATAGGGTTATTTTTGAGGAATATAAGCAAAGTAACATAATTAAAACAACCAACAATTCCCTTTTCTGCTCCCTTTCCTACTTGCGCCCTTAAAGTGAATCAACTTCTACCCACTGGTGCCATACACCACTGTCCTAAACTCTCTGTCCAGTGACAGCTATTCTTCAAATATCTGAAGACAGCATTAATGTCCCTCTCCAACTCTCTTCCCACTGTATTTCAGGCTGAAATCTCCAGCCCTATCTTCTCCTCTAGACATTCCCAGGTTGTCACATACTTACCAAGGTGAAAACAAGAATTGCACACACTTTGTCATACATTATCTGTTTATTTGTTCAAATTACACTCACTGTCTGCACTGTTGCATCCCCACAGAAGTATACCTCCAGTGCAACTGACATTACTCTTCCACTCAATGAAATACGAGGGAAGTCTACCACTTCTAGCAGAATTTTAAGAGCTATCTTGTGGCTTTGCCACCTTTCTTTCCGCTTTCATATCAGAGCAGAGAACATACATCAGAGTCACAGCCATCTGCAGCTAATAAGTGATACAAGGGAGAAACCTTAATTGTTAGTTACTGAGATTTTATTTGCTTGTAAGTTGATTATTCCAGATGTAACATGAAGCGAACATTATGTTTACTACTAGCTACTATCAAGTTATTATTAATCTACCCAACAGTCATGAGGAAAAGGTATAAACTCCCTTTTCACGTAAAGAAGCTGAGATTCAGATTAAGTACTAGAGCCAAGGTTATATACTTGTAAGAACAACAACCAGAATTGGTTGTCCCCCATTTCCAAAGCCCATGATTTTCTCATACCATAGGTCTATTAGCCACCCTGATCTGTGTTTATACCAACACAGCTCACCATTAAACTGGATCACAGAAACTACAAAAACAATTACCTATTATCCCTTCATCACAACCACTTATCATTTTTATGTATTTTCTTCCAGTCAACATCAAATTTGTATATACAATTTCAAACCTCATTTTAAAAATTATCCATATCACATTATTCAACTGCAATTTCCATTAACATACTTTTAATTATTGTACTATATTCCAGCAGGAGACACATGCAAATCTGAATTATTTCTCCGTATGAATCATTTAGGTTGTTTCTAATTTTTCACTGTTTGAAACAACTCTGTGAACATCTTTGGGTTTATATGTTTGTTTTTGGAAACAGAAGGGGGCTGGCTAATTTCTTTGGATCAATTCCGAGTTGTGAGATTCCAGAGTCAAAAAGTATGGTGATTTTTATGAATCTTGACACATAACAAGAGTGCTTTTCAAATGGTTGTTTTATATATAAGACCATTAGCAATGTATACATTTCCTTATGGTACCTTACTCTAGCCAGCATGAGAGTTGTTGCTAATTTAATGAGGGGTTCCTCATAATTCCTTCATACTTTGTGTTTACATTTTTTCATGTTTGTTGTTATTGAGCTTCCTATTTAATTATTCAGTCTTGGTCTATGTCCGTGTATATGTTTGCATAAGAATTTCATATTTAAGACTATTTAAACAAAGAAATTTGCCTCAAATATTTTCACCAATCTGCTACATTTTTTTTCATTTTGGCTATATTTTTGGATGACATAAAATTTTACATAGTCTACACTCAATCAACTCCTTTACAAATTCTTCTATTAATCCTAAACTCGGTTAAACTTCTTTGTTTTGTAGTGCTGGGAATCAAACCCAGGGGCTTCATGCATGAAAGCAAGCACTCTACCACTGGTTCCACACTCCCAGCCCAGTTAATCTTCTTAAATTTAAACAGTACACAATTAAATTCTTTGGTTTGTTGTTTTTTAATGTCATTATTAAACCCATCTGGGATTTATTTTAGTACATATTTTTAAAATCTAAATTTGTTACTCCAAATTGCTTACAGCTCTATTAACACTATTTGTTAAATAATCCTTCCTTCTCTATGGATATGTATACTTCTTTGATCATATATAATTAGACCCTTATACCCAACATGTTTCATTTCTGGATCATTTTCTCATTGGTCTTTTTTGTATTAGTGCTAGCACTCTTGTTTTTAATTTTATAGCTTCACCATACAGTATTTTAGCATCTGATCACTAGGTTATTCTTCAACCATTCTTTTTTCAGAACTATAACTTGTGTTCAAACATGTATTCATCTAAATAAATTTCCAAATCTGTTATAATCTTTTTTTGGGGGGGGGTACCGGGGATCAAACTTGGGTCCCTGTGCTTGAGCAGCAGGCGTTGAAACCACTGAGCTAAATCCCCGGCCCAATCTGTTATAATCTTTAAAGTTCAATGGTGTTTTAAGTAGAATTACAGTAACCCTATGAATTATTTTCAGAGTGGATACCTTCATATCATTAATCTTCCTTATCCCTCAGTACTGTACTGGTGTCCACTTGTTCATATCCTCAAAGCTTTATTTCCATCCACACAGCCCCCATTAATATCACTCTCATGCATAATAACTACTACTAGGAGGGTGCCTGAATAAGCATTCATAAATTGAAATTCTCTCCAACCAAAACGAATGAAGAGGATTTCTAGGT